TGCCGTCCCTAATTTGGCAGTGTAAGACTAGAGGGAAGGCAGCTAGTCATCACCGCCCACCGCCAACTCTTGGGCTGCTCTTTTATCAAACCACTTCATGTAACATACACATTAGTTGTTTTAATAATATGCATGAAACACATACTGATTTTCCATTTGTCGTTTTTAGGATTTATCACTTTTAAGTTTCTAAACCAGTTTATAGAAGAGTCGAAAATTTCGAAAGCTACTTATATTTTTGTGTAACATATTTTTTAAACAAAACTCTGTTACACTATGGAAAAAAGATACAGTTATTGTGTTATATATTTTAAATTATTCAATGTTTCTACTTCCGTGGGAGACTAATAGCAGCCAGATGCTAGCGTGCCAGGTTGTGAAGCTATGTTTCCATGGTGATAGCAGCCCAGATGCTAGCGTGCCAGGTTGTGAAGCTATGTTTCCATGGTGATAGCAGCCCAGATGCTAGCATGCCAGGTTGTGAAGCTATGTTTCCATGGTGATAGCAGCCCAGATGCTAGCGTGCCAGGTTGTGAAGCTATGTTTCCATGGTGATAGCAGCCCAGATGCTAGCGTGCCAGGTTGTGAAGCTATGTTTCCATGGTTTATGTCCTGTTATCGACAAAAATAAATCGCCTTACGCAGTTTGAAGCAGTGGGTGATTTAAAAGAGTGACTGTCAAATCTCATTGTTCGGTCTGTAAAGAGTAACCCAACAATTTGTAACGGATGTTATTTACCAGTTGCCTTCCCTTTAGTTTATTACTTCGAAATTAGGGGCAGCTAGCGCAAATAGCATTCGAATATCTTCGTGTGAAATCTAACAAAACTGACCATATGCTTGGCAATACCCTTCTGAATGTAATAAAAAGTTAAATCTCGTTATTTGTCTCAAATATATACTGTATTAAGAGGAATCGCATATGGTTGCAGCTAAGCCAAAATGCACATAGTATCGCCAAACAATCTACAGTTAATTTCGCTTAGTATCAGATAATCTCCCAGCTCATGTAGGTAATCTCCCAGTTCATATAGATAACATACAAGTTCACGTAGATAATTTACAAGTTCATGTAGGTAATCTCCTAGTTCATGTAGGTAATCTCCTAGTTCATGTAGGTAATCTCCTAGTTCATGTAGGTAATCTCCTAGTTCATATAAATAATCTCCCAGTTCATGTAGATAATCTCCTAGTTCATGTAGATAATATTCCAGTTCATATAGATAATATACAAGCTCACGTAGATAATCTCCTAGTTCACGTAGATATCCTCCCAGTTCATGTAGATAATCTTCCAGTTCATGTAGATAATCTTCCAGTTCATGTAGATAATATACAAGCTCACGTAGATAATCTCCTAGTTCATGTAGATAACCTCCCAGTTCATTTATTTACTGAACTGTAAACATGCTAACCATATATCTACCGCAATTCTTCACGAACACTTTTTTTATAATTTCTCATGTTTTAGCTCTTCATCCCTGCAGGATACAAGTACTTTAAGTTACTGGTGAGAGCACCCCATATATAGGGGGGACAAGATGATTTTTGGGCTCTCAGATTTGGTTAAACCGATTTACTTCAAAAGTGACATTAAAATGTAAAAAATGTCTCTTATACTAATCGTTAGTTGGAATATGTTTCTACAGCACTGAAACATAATAACGAGCATTAGACTAATACATATTAGATTACTTTTCTACAAGATCCAAATATAATATGCAGCATCACACCCCTCTATTTTTTCGGAACATGTTTTGCAGCGTTCAAACATAATAACCAGTATTATGCTAATTCTCTTTATTTATGTTATGGTTCTATAAAATCTCAAAGATTCCACCGTAGAAATAAAAAGTATTTTTTTATGAACAATTGATAAGCTAGTCTTAGTGAAAAATTGTAAAACGAACCCCTCTCATATTACGTTCTAAACACTTGTTGAAACTTTACAAAGTAACCTAGGTAAATGCCGCTTAAAAAAAGAAAGAAAAAATCAATTTTTGTAAACGTTTAAAAAAATGATAATAACGTGCTCATTTTTCTTTTAATTTCTAAAAAAAAAAGAGACAAAAAATAATAAACAAAGACAAAAATGAGAACCAAAAAGCGACAATACACATATACTTACACATTAAAAAACAGTGACAATATATACATTTTTTTTAATCAAACCTCTACAATTAATTAACCCAACGATCGGGTTTGCTCTGTACTCCTAAGTTTGTTTTCTTTGTTTTAGAATTCAAAGGACTTGTAGGAAAGTAACATGACATTTCTCTTGTTTGACCGAGTAGTTGGGTTTCCCTGTCACTTTTATAGCGCACCCTCCCACTGTCCCAATGTGCAGAGTGCGTTTCTGTAGCAATGCACCGCGAACCACTAATCCTAAGATTAACATTCCGGGCACACTAACCACTGGGCCACTCTCGGCCTATATTTCTCGGGATTTTTACATTAGTATTTTACCTAACGCCCATTTCAAATCATACATATAAGAATACAAAAGGTTCTCCTCATTCCTCACTTTAACAACACTATCAATGATAAAGAGAAAAACAGACGAACTTTGTGTGGTCTCAAGATAAAGAAAACGTCAATGAATTACATCGCATGTACCGATGACGCAGCGAAGCAGTAACTAACCCCAACATTATGGTAACATTTCAAACTGGAATGAAATAATTTATGACGTTAAAAAGGATCGATGAATCCAGTCAAAAATATCTAAAAAGCTTTGGGTAGTTTCTGTCTAGCGTTTAATTCTAGCTAACACTTAAACTGCTTTTATAACGTATAACTACATAACGAGTTCTGCCCACTTAGGCAATAGAATTACGGAATATAGCGTTTTAATTTCCACTGATCTATCGAGAAACAACAATTATTGTTCATTTATGTATTAAGTATCTTAAACTTCCCAAGTACAATCACACCTCCTCCCCTTATTCCATTATTATTGTCAGAAAATCAAAACATGTTGGTCGAAATATATAACTTGTTCAGCACCTGAACCATGAATTTAATTTACAACAGATAATTTTATACTTTTAAGATGTAGACATAATTTAGTTAAAAAGCTGATTTTCATATTGTGAGGTTAAAAGAACTTGCATAACCTTAAATGAATCAGCGGGTTTTCGCTGGGCTGCAAAACACTGTTGTCTGCAAACAACTGGGCAACATTGATGACCGACTTTTCAAGGCAACATTTAAAGTGTTTCATACCACGTGACGTGTTCTCACCCACTCACAGCAACTGGTTCATGCTAGGGATAGAACAGCCTTAAACCAGCAATCAATTAGCATTTACACATTAAAGTATCGGGATATATGTAAAATGTTTAAAGTTTTTGTTGTTCTTTTCTATCAAGAGCCTACATTTCAGTAATATTTATACCGTGAAGTACAATGATTTGTATGACAGGGTTATGTTTTCCTTTATAACAAGCCTAACAATTAACTATTATTTATATCGTAAAGTAACGGAATATATGTGATGATAAATAGTCTAAATATGCCTCACAGATCACGGCTGTTACGGTATAAATACAAATTAATTGTATCTAAAAGCATTAACAACAAACACGTAATTAGCATTTATAAAATATAGGACGACAGTATTTTTGAAACTTTTATAATCCTTAATTGTTTCAGCATTTATAAATGTTTAATGAATATTATGGTTGCAAATGGAGCCGTTATGCGTAGCGGTATACCATCCATAAGAACAATATTATTCTAATAGTTCTCCTTTTACATTTGCAACCTAACAATATTATCCTTCTAATAGTTCTACTTTTACATTTGCGAAAAAACAATACTATCCTTCTAATAGTTCTACTTTTACATTTGCGATATAACAATATTATCCTTTTAATAGTTCTTCTTTTACATTTGTGATATAACAATATTATCCTTCTAATAATTCTATTTTTACATTTGCAATATAGCAATATTATCCTTCTAATAGTTCTACTTTTACATTTGCGATATAACAATATTATCCTTCTAATATTTTTACTTTTACATTTGCGATATAACAATATTATCCTTCTAATAGTTCTACTTTTACATTTGCGATATAACAATATTATCCTTCTAATAGTTCTACTTTTACATTTGCGATATAACAGTATTATCATTTTAAAAGTTCTACTTTTACATTTGGAAATATTTTGGAAATAATTAACATAAACAAAAACAGCATGTCTTTATACAATGTAATCTATACGGTGATTCAGAAGTCCATCGACAGACAAGTAGTTCATGAATACGTATCATACATCCTAAATATCAATGACAAAAGTATATATATTGATATATAACAACCGAAATACTAAGTTTATTCTCGAAAACAATAGACATAGGCAGAAATGTACCATTTCCATATATAACGAGTCGTTCGAAATTATGATCGAAATCTGATCATAATAAATGGTTTTCCACAAGCCTAGATTTGAGATGTAAGGTCAACATTTTCCATAACTAAATCATCTGACTTAGCAACGGCCCAAAAGGATAGAAAGTATTAAAATCAAAGCTCCTTTCATTGTAACTGTAACATTAGGCCTGATATTTGCCAGTAATTTTGTAATCTGTTTTGTTTAATTTCGCGCAAAGCTACACGAGGGTTATCTGCCGTCCGTAATTCAGCAGTGTAAGAATAGAGAGAAGGCAGCTAGTCATCACCACTCACCGCCAACTCTTGGGCTACTCTTTTATCAATGAATAGTGGGATTGACCGTCACATTATAACGTCCCGACGGCTAAAAGGACGAGCATATTTGGTTGGATTGAGATTCGAACCCGCGACACTCATATTGCAAGTCAAGCGCCCTAACCACCTAGACATTTCGGGCCATTTTGTAGTCAATTTTTTTATCATGTTGCTGCGTTGATTAGTTTCAGTACAGCTTAAGATAAATTTTTTTAACACTAAACTGATGAACGTGTCGATCATTTTCTATATATTTTAAATGTTAGTTATCTGTTGTTCTCAGTTCCGCCTAGAAGAATCTTTATTTTAAACATGAACGAAGAAAGAGTACAAGGTAGCATTGGACCATTTCAGGAAGGAGACACTTTAGCACTCACGTGTGTGGTTCAAGGTGGTAAGTGTTATCCTTTTACCTGTGGTTTACTTGAAATATAAACCATTATTTGACAAAAGTCTGTTTGTATGTATGTGTGTGTAGCACGTCTGGTCCAAGGTAGTACCTGTGATTTACTTGATATATGAACCATTATTTGACAAAAGTCTCTGTTTGTGTGTAGCACGTGTGATCCAAGGTGGTAAGTGTTATACTTTTACCTGTGGCTTTCTTCAAATATAAACCATTATTTGACAAAAGTCTCTGTTTGTGTGTGTGTAGCACGTGTGGTCCAAGGTGGTAAGTGTTATCTTTTTACCTGCGATTTACTTGATATATAAACCATTATTTGACAAAAGTCTCTGTTTTTGTGTAGCACGTGTGGTACAAGATGGTGTTATCTTTTTACCTGTGATTTACTTGATATATAAACCATTATTTGACAAAAGTCTCTGTTTGTGTGTAGCACGTGTGGTCCAAGGTGGCAAGTGTTATCTTTTTACCTGTGAAATATACACTATTATTTGACGAAAGTCTGTGTGTATCCGTATCCGCTTATACTAGTCAAAGCGCTGAACAAATGTTCAAGAAACATGGCATGTATCCTTAGGGCCCTCTGGGAGTGAATACGGATTTTGATCTAACACCTAAGCCACTCCAGAGCTAAATGCTTCTTCCCCATGCTCTAAACAAGTATGTTAGCAAGTACATATGTATCATAAACAACGATAGTGGTTCATCATGGAGATCGTCCAGGAATTATACAAAGAACTGAGAGAGTAGTTTTGAACTTAATTCGACCTCCTTAGTTTTGTCGTGTTTTCCAAGTCCTTCAGTTTCCGGTGTTTCCCTAGCGTGCGCGTTAGTTGGAAACTACAACTCGTACATTTCCTAGCGCATTAATCATGAGCCACAGTAAAGTGGGTATTTGAATTTGTGCGCTTGGTATATTTACTGAGATAGGTTAAGAATATACATCATGAGCCACGATAGTGGTTCATACTGTGGATCTCATGGAATTGCACAAAACCCTAATAGAACGTTCGGGCAAAAGACGCTTTAAACAGTAAAGATTCAGTTCAAACAACACTTTAAAACCTTTACTATTGACTGTTAAGGCTGTTCACATATAAAAATGCACAAAAAAGTACGCATTCTAGACTTACAAGAAAAACAAAAATCCGCTCAAAACGGCCCGTTTGTAATTCTTATTATTTTCTTGAAAGCCTACAACAAAAATGGCTTAGTATATTGTACCCAGACATTTTGTATTATATTAAATAATGTACTGCGAATGTCGTAAGGATATATAAAAACCGATCTGTTTCTTTTGTATCTCACATAAGCTAAAAAACATCACAATTCTTGTGTAAACGATGTTATCATTACCCCTTGAAGTTAGATTTTTTACAAATATGTGGGGTTCATTAAGAAGCTTGATTACAGGGTGAAATAGGATTTACCAGCCAAAAATAGAGGAACATCAGGTGACTGTAACATATATATACTCAATGCTTCTCTTTGTATGTAAAGCAGAAGTATCGTCTGTGTGCTTTCACGGCTACACAATCTGATTAACCTCAACTAAACTTGGCATGCACCCTTAGGACTCCTTCCGATCTGCTCCCCCGAGTCACCTCACGGGGGTCTCTATGTCATCCTCGTGCGTGGAACAGGTACATAAGCTAGTAGTTGTATGTGATAAAAGGTTCAGTTAATAAACTACCCTTTCTTCAGTCTTTTTTTTTTTTTTTTACTTCAATAAATCTAGCAAAACATCTTATACGCCATTCCTTTTGATATTACGACCACAGGGAATCCCATGCCAACCGTGACATGGTGGAATGACACAGACGTGGTTGATGATACCTTTACAGTTGTAAATCAGGATTCTATTCGTAACGAATTCGTCATCCAGAATTTACGAAGAGAGAATCTTTTCTCTGAATTCACCTGCCAGGCGTCGAATAGCAATTACACAGAGCCCGTCACCAGTACTGTAATCCTGGACATGTACTGTAAGCGTATTTCCGTTCTCTTATACTTTAAAATATATACAACTTCCAATATTTTAAGTAACCCTATGATTTACATGTATGTTTAGTTATTTAAAAAGCTTGTTGGTGAGTTTTCAGTTTCGGGGAATTCTATTCATTATCAGTAACCCTATGATTTACATGTATTTTTTAGTTATTTATAAACCTTGTTGGTAAGTTTTCAGTTTCGGGGAATTCTATTCATTATCAGTAACCCTATGATTCACATGTATTTTTTAGTATTTTAAAAAGCTTGTTGGTGAGTTTTCAGTTTCGGGGAATTCTATTCATTATCAGTAACCCTATGATTTACATGTATTTTTTAGTATTTTAAAAAGCTTGTTTTTGAGTTTTCAGTTTCGGGGAATTCTATTCCTTATCAGTAACCCTATGATTTACATGTATTTTTTTAGTTATTTAAAAAGCTTGTTGGTGAGTTTTCAGTTTCGGGGAATTCTATTCATTATCAGTAACCCTATGATTTACATGTATTTTTTTAGTTATTTAAAAAGCTTGTTGGTGAGTTTTCAGTTTCGGGGAATTCTATTCATTATCAGTAACCCTATGATTTACATGTATTTTTTTAGTTATTTAAAAAGCTTGTTGGTGAGTTTT